CTGTGGTGACAGCAGAGACGAGGAAGTGGGGAAGCCGTCGGCAGCGTCGCCGTGTGTGGTAACGAAAACCCCTCCACTTGTCGTAACACCAGCCTCACCTCGCGAGGCACTGGGCCGGCCAGTGTCGATGTTTGCAGACTTCTCAGCATCGCCTCCAACCGCGGACTCCACGGATCCACGAACGATTTTAGGCCGTCCTCGTCGTCAGTTTTCAAAGTCACGGAAGTGCAACAAGTCTTCCTCACAAATCAAAAATGTTCCACAAGTCTCCAACCGTGGTAAATTAAGACTTATACCGTCTCCGTCATACACGACTCCCTCTTGAATCGCCAACTCTGATCGCTTTTCCGATTTCACAAGCTATTGACAGTTAACAAGTGGGTCGCCCCACTGGTTCCTTCGAAGACCTCCAAGCCCACAATGTCTTCTTGCTTCCACAATATTCGCAACATGATCTTCCTTTTGGTGCAACTAAGCAACTTTCAATGTGATTTGTGCAAGTTCTTAGTGCTTGGACCACGATGGTTTTCGACAGCCTATTACTTATCGCCAGTAGTGTATCATTTCAATAGATGGCATTGTGCTTGAAGTGAGTTAACTGACATTCCCTCCCCTTCACGTAGAATCCAGAGAGCGAACCCTCCTCCAATTCTACGGTATTTCATGCGGGTTTGAAATGGCGTGCAAAATTCACCCGAATCTGACGCGCCAGCTCAGTTAATTAATCAACAGTAAAAATTTCGAGCGTTACTTTGAGAACCTAGTAGCTGGCATAACTTTTCAATATAGAGGGAAACTGTTGGGTATCCACGATTCCCCAAGATTGGTTTCTGATTCTATATGCATTAATTTACTAACATTTGTTTTGTTACGCTTTGTATCAAGTCAAGGTCAACCCTGACTTGAATTAGTTTCACTTTCGTTTTCATTTCAATTCTCTGCACGTGGCTGACGTAAATAAAGCTCTACACACGAGCTCTGGTCTTGTTCTAGTATTAGCCTGGAAGGTCGGTTCTAGCTTCAGCAAGGGATCTGGTACCGTTATTTGAGTGGTATTCTCTATTGTTACGGGCAAACATAACAAAAACAAGCATTGAAGTCTCCCAGTAATTACCATCAAAAAAATTCAAAAAAGAAAAATAATATAAAAATTTATTAGGCTGTTTGAAGAAAAGACGAATCGATTGGGACTACCCGATGCCCTTTTTATTCTACTACTTCCGCATCATGTTGTGTGGGCCACTTTTGAGGAAAAACTTATTTAAAATTTAAGAAAACACAAGCCTATGTTGATCAGGCATATCCCCATTTTCGTTGCTACCTAACCCAGGCATTTATGAGTTCGAAATTTAGTCCTTTTTTCTCTATCTAAACGAAGTTTTGAAGTAGCGGTGGAGGGGTTTACCTTCGAACGACGACAAATGAGTTACATTCGAGAAAGCATTTCTCTTCACATTCCAGAAACGACATCCTCAATAACTTTGGGATCAAGGCAGTTCCAGAGGAATCTGCACGATCCCGGTTAATCGATTATCGCAAATAAAACGAAGGGTTACTTACTATTAATGCTGCCTCTATGTACCACTGAAGTTCACACCATGCTACACAGTAGCCCACAGAAAACGATAAAATCACCACTAGAACTCGCATTCACCCTAACAGGCTCTTCGGGCAGGGGAAGGGAGAAAGTTTCAGATAGGAGAGAGGCACCAACTCACACCCCCTGAAAGAACCTCCACGCAGATGTGAATGAAACCAACCCCGTGAAACCAGCTTCTTCCAGTTTAAACACACCCGCGATATCGACTGTGTTGAATATGAGGCTGCTTCCCAACCAACAAGAACCACATCCACGAGCGCACACAATTTCACCACCACGTGTGAAACAACAAAATCAACGTGTGTTGGATGTATTATTAAAAAATAAGATAAAACTTACTGCTTAGGACGGCACAGAGCACAGAATACCTTCGAACAGAGATAGAGAGATGAATATAGTTCATGATGGAAGGAAGACGCATTATTGATGAGTACGGGAGTGGGATTATCTCGGGAGGGGGCTTGGGGGGGCGTGTTTGTGGGGGGAGATGGTGAAGAAAGACTCACGCGAAGCGGTGGCGGCAGCAGCTGCGGCAAAGTGTGTGGGTGTTGAAGTCAGAATGGCCGATCACCTGAACAGTACGCGCACACGTACAAACAGAGGAGGGGGCAGGCAGGTCACTGCGAGTCAAAAAAAGGGTATACGGGTACGCTAGGAGACGTTGCTCTGCTGGAAGACCTTGATCAGGTCACACACGCGTGAGTGACGACTCGAATCGCCCTCGGCGGAGGGGTCTAAAATCTTCGCCTAAAATGTGAAGATAACCAATCACAGAGGGGGCACAAAAATGCCACGACAGCGACACACAACAGCAAACCACCAAACCCACACACACACAGGGCGTTGACACTTCCGTTAGACACTTACCTGGACACTGAAATTAAAAAAAAAGCAAGCGATGTGTGTGAATCATGTCTACGACTCTCATCTGCTCTCCACACTGGGCCACGGACTTCAGCAGACTGCGAATAACTGCAATGCCATAATCATGCGCTCGAGTCTCTATTGGTCGGTTTTTGTTCCGCGCGCGTTTGCAGCGCTGCTACCAGTAAAACGTTGTTTGTGGTGTTTAAAACGGAGTCACGAGTACGCGCCTCCACCGCCCGTCAACTTACGCATCAGACGCGCCGTTTGGCTACTAACTAGCTAGTGCAGAGATGTGCAGAATAAGATATGAGAGCAAAATAGCAGCGCTTAAAATTGGGCAGATATCGGTGCGCACTAACTGCAACGAAATAGCCACAAATCAATGCAAAATCAAGAGGGCTCCTCATTCGCTAATTTCTGTGCGTCGGTAGGGGAGACAAAGAAGTTGTGGGGCATGGGAAAATACGACGAGTAAACAACAGCAATTTACTAAACACCAGGGTGGAGACAAAATTCACCCAGATGGATAAAAAGCAGCGCATAAAAACGGTGGCTGAAAAAGAGAGTGCAAAAAAGGCACCACAAAACACACGGATTGTGCAACTAAGCAAGCTGACGCGAGTGGGTGGGGGTGCGAGGACAACACCAACGCGATTGGCAATCAGAAGAGAGCATTACCGGCTCCCGAGTGGTTTGGCTGGGTGTCGGACGCAAACGAATCGCAGGATAGACGCCTTCCGGTTTGATCAGAGGCGCGAGTTCTGATTTCGGAGCTGTTGGAGGCGGTTGTCGCACTGAGGGACGACACGCCGCTTCCGCGGGCTTCGTCTTCGGACGCAATGAGACCGCCTCCGTTGTGGCGGCGACGACCTTCGAACCATCACTGCCGACGGAGAGGACACGAACGCGAGTGGAGGCCGCGGTGGGAGGCGATGCTGAGAAGTCTGCAAACATCGACACTGGCCGGCCCAGTGCCTCGCGAGGTGAGGCTGGTGTTACGGCAAGTGGAGGGGTTTTCGTTACCACACACGGCGACGCTGCCGACGGCTTCCCCACTTCCTCGTCTCTGCTGTCACCACAGGAGCCCTCGCCACTGGTCGAAGTGGAGGCCTCTTCCCGCTGCGAATGCTGACTTCTTCGACTCGGCAGCAGGAGGTCGCTGCTGCGAGGCAGCTTACATCGCGACGGACTAGCTTCGTGGGAACACTCACCTGCCCGAGGCAACGACTTTGACAGGCTGCTGAACACAACCGGGTCGTGGTTGTTGTTATTGGGGGTGGTGGTGGTGGGGAGGAGGGGACAGTGGGGAGAGGGAAGAAAAAGAAGGTTGCATATGAATGACAGGTGGGGCTACTGCTTCTGGGTGTGGTGACACAAACACACACCACCCGAACACAACCAGTGTTAGTGACCACCACTAGGCACCGTATTCCAACGACTCTGTAATTAGTCTACACGTCTTTTTACATACACAAACACGCACACACATGCACGCATGACTGCTGCATAGCCACGTGAGGGAGCAAGTGCGTGCACGCTGGACAGCCAGGTTGGCCAAGGTGACTAGGCAGCCGATGTCAACCTCGACGCAGCAGATTATCGTACCACCGACTTGTGGTGAATCGTGGTTCGTCAAGATTCCACATTCTCAGTCGAAGGAGGTCAAGACACCGAGTTAATTAACCGCTTCCTAATAAACCATACGTCGCACTTCTGCTGTGGCTTCTCGTTGGTTAAACGAACACGTCCATGCACCTACCCACCTGTGCGACGTTGTGTTCAACCAAAACTACCAAACGAGACAAGGGCCCTATTTAACGAATGAGTCTGTGTCCGAATGCGATGTTCATACTCGCCTCGTGGGGATCGGTGTGGTTTAGCGACACCCACACGACTCGCCGGCTGCGTTGTGGTGTCCACGGCCACATTGGAAGCATCACAACGTCCACGCCGACAATAATTGGCGCGTTCAGTCTGCGTCATATGACACGCAATGTCGAAGCCGGTGACGCGTCCAATTAACTCGGCTCGACTCGACGATCGGCGGCGGCACCAATGACACCATCTGACGCACCTCGCGTGCACTGGAGGTGACAGAGCGACCAGACAAGCGCCCGCGAGCAAATGAGTGAGTGAATGCAGCGACCACAGCAGCCGGTTGAGCGTGTCCTGAGTGCCACACACTCAGTTCGTTGGAGGTCATGGCGTTGCTTTCTTCTCTCACGCACACACATACACACACAGGCACGCACACGTGGTGTTTGGTAGCAGAGGGAAATTGCACAGTGCTCAGGCTGACTTGTGCGTGCACGACCAGCCGACGATGGGTTGCGGTGGGCGTTGTTCAGTGGTGGTTGCACGCCTGCCCCTTGGAGCGAGCGAGCGAGCGAGCGAGGTTAGACTGGCCACGTTAGAGTGGGGCAAATCCATCACGTGTTGCTGTCACCTCAACGCCTTACGCCACTTCCCACGTCCTCAACCTAAAGCAGGCATCCCGGAAAGGTCGACAAGTGAGAATGCGCGGGCGTTGGCATGGATTTGGCGGATTGTTGTAAAACAGAAAGTATAAAAAGGCAGCAACGCTGTTGGCGACCTTGTCGCAATCGCTCGGAAACGCATTTCCTACTTGTTCTCTGCCAAATGTCGCCTTTAGTAACCGACTGAAGCCACTACTGCCTTGCGTTAGAAACACTCTACTTGCAATTGAATTTGCAGACGACAGGTTGGGGCGAATGTCAGCACGGAGCGCAACAAATTCGAGCCTTCTGTACACATTTTACTTGGTTATAGTCACACAGACAAGCAGCAAATACGCTACTGCAACGAAATGTGCGGCGTGTATGGCGTTGATTGGTTACCAGAAGGACTACTTCGAGGCTTCTCTAAGCGATTTCACTTTCCGAAGACGATCCAGTCAATGTTGACCAGCGTGTCGACCTGCTCGACGCAATGCGGTTGTTGACAACCAAGTCAAGGCCACGACTGGGTTCGATCGTGATCGCACAGGTGAGCGAGAGATACTGGAGAGGCTGACATGCACCGCGCCAGCGAACAACAATCCCACACCGCCAACATGTCGTCTGCTTGATAGGGAGTTCGATCTTTGAATGCAGCACGGAGCAGATGGTGAATTCGCACGCAAAACAACGGGTCAAAATTAGCGAATGGCCTCGTGTATGCATGGAATTTATGTCATTTCACCAAACCAATTATCACTCGTGATTGGTTTGAAGGAAAGGCACGTCTACAATAACGTCGGTTGCAAACAATCATGGTCCAAATCTGACGAAGCGGTACAGCCCATAACTTAACCTGCCGAACTGCATCAAAAGGTAGACCATGCTGTCATGCATATTAAGGCCTACTTTCTAGGGACCAAATTAGCTATTCATTTGTTGATCGTCATTTTATAGTGCTGGGGATCCACGATTCCCAAGATTGGTTTTTGATTCTATTTACATTAATTGATTAACTTTTGTTTTGTTACGCTTGTTTTCAAGTCAAGGCAAGGGATCTGGTACCGTTAATTGAATTGTTTTTTTTTACGGGCAAACGTAACATATAGGCATCATGGTCACTAGAATCTGCATCTATTTGCTGTATGCACGTAAAACGACCACTGTATATTGTCTGCGCGGACAATAGGATAAAGATCGTAGTGGTTAAATGTCATTGCATTCATTCACAGTAGACGAGGCGTTCATTTGTTTTTCAACACTTGCCTTCTGGTTTATTTCATTTGAGTACATTTTGACCCTCTTACTATTCAAGGTGTGCAACCTTTTCATTTACAAAGGGCCTTGTGGTCGCAAGAGTACTCCCAAATTCGGGCATAATGATTTTTTCTACATTCGATGTAAGTTTATCACATTTCCCCCGTACAACACACTGAATAACTGATGTTAGTAGTAGTTGCTGTGTTGTGGAGCTACACAAACCTAAATTAGCAAGCTTCTACACTGGCCATTTCAAGGCTGTGTCATCTGGATTGGTGAGCCACTTGAATTCTGCCAAAAGTGCCAAATTAATGGATTAAAAATTGTGTTTGAACGAGTCGTAGACTTAATTATGCCGCGAATATCCACCACAGACCGTCACGCTTAACTTTTTAAAAGCAAATTTTGCAATGTTTTTTTTTGTAAATTGAGCGAAAAGCAATAGAAGGAGGGATGGTACAGGGGGCATTACCTGTACTCCCACAAAAATGCTTAGTTGTGTTAACTCGCAATATTCTTCTTTGATTGGTGGAGTGGCGGAAACACCCTCATTGGGCGAACCAAATCGGCATTTGATTTGATAATACCAGCAACCAATCTCTCCTTTGAACCGCACTGAGGTTGTTTCCGTCTGCGAAAGAGCATCAGCGCAATCGGACACAGCAGGGCATAGAGCATGCATTCTTCGGAAGTGTTTGTGAGATTGATGATAAACTTGGGTAAAAATCTTCGCATGTAGAGGTCCACTGTCATGCTTTTCCGTTGACTGGCAATGTCAAGGAAAGTAACAACGTGCACACCCTTGAATTCAACCTCTGGGACGCCCATCTGTGAGAGCAGATCTACGCATCTTGAAGATTTGAGAATTTTGAAGGAAAGCGGCTCCGTCACGTGACCTCCAATTGTTCCAATGAATACAGGGGACAGGAGAATTGATCTCACAGCGGCCAGAAGGTGTGAGTCAGTAGTCAGAATGTCCAGGCACAGTTCCAACTCATGCTTGTCCTTAAACTCAATTTCCTGCAGCAGCAAACTAATAATTACTAACTTGGTGCGCTGATCTGGAGGCAGCCGCATTCCCGAGCTATTCTCGATCTCGAGAAGGCGCCGTCTGACTTCCGCTTCCACATTTAAGGCTGATGCTTTCTTGCCAGTCAGAATTGAGTGCCGCATGGTAAAAGTATTGTGGCCTGCCACGTTGACGCCGCGCCATGTGTTATCGATCTGGCAGAGATTTTTTGGCTTAAACAATTTGCAGAGGTTTAAGTAAGCCGCCACTACGGCAAAGGGTCAATAACTAACACAATTGTTTAACAAGGGGTGTTGGGAGATTTTTTATGGAATATCGTACAGAATGATAAATCATTGAATTAATTTGGAATTCATACATAATAAAGTGAGAAAGATGGATGAAGAGATTTTGGTCTAGAATTGCGGTTTACAGAGAGATTGCGTTTTAAAGTAACTAAAATAACATGAATGCTGCATGTTAAGAAATGTTCAAATGGCTTATTGATGAAACAACCAGAAATTAAGTAAATTTTTTTGTTTGAGATGTTACTTTTTAGAATTTTGAACAATTAAATTGATAGAATCGTCATTTTTTTCATAACTAAAATATTTGCTGTACGACCCACAACAAACTTTCAATTTCGGATGATAAATAAATGCCACAATTAATAGGAAAATCATGTCTTCATAACACGATATATGGTCCCCTCAGATAACTACAAATTAATTACATCCTGGATCAAGATATTGAGACAACCACTCTGTAGCAAACCGTGAACGACCTAGAAAACTTCAAATTAAAAAAAAATATATCTTAAATAGTTCTAAAAACTATCAAGAGTGCTTTTGACAGAATAAGTAAAATTTTGAGACAGAAAAATGTCGATTCATTTAGAGATTTTTAAAAACCTTAAATAATATCAAATGCCGTGATTTTTGTTATCGCATATATATTGGCGTATGTACTTTTCAGGTTATCTTATTCAAACGAGATTGGCTTTGCGTTAAGGAGAATCAAAAGGACATGAAGCAAGTTTTTCCATCACAGATTTCTTCAAAAAAGTTTCTGAAGTCTTCTTTTCTTAAATTGTGCATTATTTAATAAATTAATCAAATGGGTGTTGTGAACTCAAAAATGTATCAAGGAAAAAATCAAAATAAAATCTTTTAATACGATTAACTATTTCTAACTTTCTAAGTTAAAAGAATAGCCTTGAAAAATAGTGTAAATGTATCTGGTTTTAAGTACAATTACGCATTTAGGGTTTTTTTAGAGATATTTAGTTAAAATGAAACCCAAACCTATGAGTTCGGATATTTTTAGATCTGCGGCAGTGAAAATTGGGATTTTATTTTTGACTTCTGATAATTTTGGTGTTCTGTTGAGTCCATATTAAATAAACCAGTAAACTTCATATTTAACTTTAATTGTGAAGTTAAAGGGCATTGTGCGTTAGAATGTGCATGCTTGTTTCTCAGTTTCTCCCACACATTACTGCCATTTTACTTCAAAAATGTACTTCCTTTTGTTTTACTCTGGACTATCAGTGGCTGTTAAACGTGAATACCCAAAAACGGTATATTTAACCACTTTTTTCCTATTTTGATATTTTGCACAGTATTACCAAAATTCCCTGCAACCTACTTGAAGGTACATTTTCATAACTTACGCGAAACATTGAAATAGAATGTCGAAAAATTGCTGAATTTATTGACGTACTAAATCCTGCGGGAACCAGTTGACAAATTAAATGTCTTGGTTATATGGCTGACGGTTATTAGAGATCATAGAGAGGGCCAATTATGAGTTTGCATTTTTGGATGAATGAATAGGATTAGTTTTAATACTCAGTGCGTAGCAAACACATGCTTTTAATGTTTGGAAAGTCAATTCTAAATGGTGAAATAACAAAGACCTAAGCTTAAGTGAACAGGGATTGGTACCGGATCCAACCGGGCAAACTTCTCAGTTTACCTGCGCTGTGTAAAATCGCAAAGTTATATCTTTTCGGAAATAGGGATGATAAATTAAATCGTATACACTAGAGGAGCCATGAAAGCAGTGGCTCGTGTACTCTGTAATTCAGGATTCAACACTAAAATGATTGGATAAACACATCCATTAAATTTTTACAGTAATCCAATTGAGTTATGCGTTATCCTCGTGCGTTTTGTAATACCGTGTAAATAAGGAGTAAGAATGAGCGTTGCTATACTTGATGCCGGGGCTCAGTATTGCAAGGTTTGTATTAAACTTTTTGAGTTCTTACATAATTAAAGGTTATTGACAGGCGCGTCCGCGAATTGAATGTTCATTCGGAAATCGTTCCTTTAAATACTTCTCTGGATAGTTTAATAGAACGCGGATTTAAGTATGCATATTTTGTGATGGCACTTAAATGCAAGGACAATCATTATATCTGGAGGGCCTGGATCAGTTTCTAAGGATGAGCTCTCTTCATTCGATCCAAAAATTTTCGAAGGTCACATGCCTGTTTTGGGTATTTGTTACGGAATGCAGGTAATTATCTTACTCATCATTTATTTCCTAAAGCTAATGAACCATCTTGGCGGGGGGAAAGTTGAAAGTAGCAGTGTACGTAAGGATGGACGGTTTACAATGATTGCAGATACTTTATCTCCCCTTTTTTCGTAAGGAAAAGCATTGATTAACCTATTCTTGTTAGTGGTCTTACTTCAGAAGAGCAAGTACTTCTTACGCACGGCGACCAATGTACGAGCATTGCTGAGGGTTTTATAACTATTGGTACTGTTAATGAAACTCCGGTTGGTGAGTTTTGTTTCCTGTCTATTTCGACCACTATTCACCATTTATTAATTATTCATCGCTAACAAAGTAATTTCGTTATTTTGATCTATAAACTTATGCTGTAGCCGCAATGGTTTGTGCATTCCTCTTTTTGGATTTAGGAAGACTTCTTAACAGACCTTCTACAAAAGGGTTTTGGGTAATTATTCCAATCTGGTAACTTTTCTCAGTGTTAGTATAGGATTCGATCTGTTTCATGGCCCCTCGTCGATTAGCGACATATTTTAATCAACTGCAATATTAATGTGTGGTCTGGCGTTGTTTTGACGAGTCAGTTTTTTGTCTCATGCTTCTTCAGCTTGAATTTTCGCAAACGACCTCGCTGTGAAATTTGTTTGTTGATTCAAATTAACCTCACTCCGCTTTGTTTGCGATCTTTTTCGGTTAACTTTGCTTTATTTTAGAATCTTCACTTTTCAACGCCAGTAACCCGTCTTTAAATAAACCCATTCTTACTAGTCCTTATTGATGTGCTGCTTAATTTTGCTCCTCAGTCAATTTAGACTCGCAGTTGTCTACATTACATGGCTTCGCTACTTACGTGGGACGGACTGAACCAGCGCAATCAGCGCAAGTCTGTTTACGTGCGTAGTACCTTTGGTGCGGTTTCGCGTCAACCCACGTAACTCATGACGATGTGAAACATTGTCTGGATTGTACGCAGATGACGAATCCAAGTGATGCGTTGAGGCTGTTTTAGATTCTTGCCCAAATCAAACTGTGTCATGCAATTGATAATTTTTATAAAAAAGAAGCTATTAATGTTCGTTTATCCTTCACTCTTACCTTAAAAGCCGTACTTTTTTATTATTCTAATTCTCATCACTTTTATTTCTCTCCAACATGTTCCAACTAAGATATTTATTTCACTCTTGACGTTACTTTCTCTGAATTTTAGCCATCGCAAAGCCAGCAATAAATCTCTATGGTGTGCAGTTTCACCCCGAGGTCGATTTGACAACCAATGGAAAAGCAATGTTGTCGAATTTCTTATTTAAGATTGCTGGGTTGTCGAAGGACTTTCATATCGAGAATCGCCTCAATTCCTGCCTCCAGCACCTTAGAGAAGTCGCCGGGGAGAGGAAAGTCCTGGTTAGTGTGAAAATTTCTGCCATGCTAGTTGTGACGTTGTGGGCCTTTTTGATCAGTCACCGTGAACCTCCTAGGCGTTAAACGTCGTCCTATGTCCCCACACGCAGTCTATGGTACCTCACGTCAATGCTTAAAACGCCAGCTTGTAAATAGCACGGACTGAGTGCTTGCACTGGCATTGATGTTCTCGCCTTTGCCCTCTAGTTCCTGTTGAGCGGCGGTGTGGACTCCTCCGTGTGCGCGGCGCTCGCCCTCAAAGCCCTCGAACCGGAACAAATTTACGCCGTCCACATCAATAACGGATTTATGCGGAAAAACGAATCCGAATTTACCTTGGCGGCTCTTGGTAAACTTGGACTTAACGGTAAGTTAGTCTGTAATCGCAAGTAGGACGTGGTTCGGAGCTTCGGTTGTCAGTGAGCGCTGTGCTCTTCCTCCTCCCCCTCCTCCTCCTCTTCTTCTTCCTCCTTCCCCCCTCCCCCTCCATTTTCTCTTCCCCCTCCTCCTCTTCCTCCTTCTCCTCCTACTCCTCTTCCACTTCTTCCTATTCCTCCTCCCATATTTACCTTTTGCCTTAGCTCACACTTCCTCCTCTTCCGCGCCGCCATTACGCATAACAGCAAAGCTTGTTGTGACGTTTCAGTGAAGTATGTTAATGCAACGTTGCGTTTCCACGCCGGCATGACCACGTACCAGGTGCGCGTGGACACCTCGGCACTGGCTCCGGCCAGTCTTCTCGCCAAGGCCGCGTCGGGGACGCCTGCCGCCGGCGAGTCTGCCGACGCGCCCGTCTCCATGGACGTGGAGAACAACGAAAACAACACCACCGCCACCGCCGCCACCACATTTGCCCCAAAGGTCATTCAGGGGGGTGTGGTGCCTTACCAGGAGGTCCGCAACATCCCCATCGGACCGCTCAACCTGCACGTCGTCAATCCCGAGGAGAAGCGAAAGATCATCGGAGACGTCTTTGTTCGTGTGGCCCAGGAGACGTGGCAGCAATTGAAGTTGAATCCTGACGAATTCCTGCTGTGTCAGGGTACGTGCGTCTGGATAATTGTGTTAACGTCGATGACTGTTAGTCTTCACAGCGATTGAAAATTGTCTCAAGTGTCCCGTGCTTGTTTGGAAGCCCAATGTTTGTTAAACATCTACTTATTAGGTTTTAGTAGCCATGTAGTGGTAAGATCGAGATCTGTCCAATTGTCGGTGTCAGCCTCTGCTCTAGCGCATGTTTCCTCAGTTAAAGGAGTACTCGCTTTTGCCAGATCCACCAAATTGCCTGTACTAAATGTGTTTTTTATTCAAAAGTAATTTTATATGATTAAGGAACCCTCAGACCGGATCTCATTGAGTCAGCCGCTTCTTCCGTGTCCAAGAAGGCCGATGTCATCAAAACCCACCACAATGTCACCGACCTCGTCAAGAAGCTTAGTCAAGAAGTAAGTCACAAACACGCATTTCCTTCACAAAAAAAACTGGCTCGACACTGGTGGTTGAAGTCAATTCGAGTCACCACTGTAACTCACCACGACGATTGATTGTCGCCTCGGCTTTGCTCTGATTGCAGGGTCGTGTGATCGAGCCGTTGGCCGATTTCCACAAGGATGAGGTGCGTCGCATTGGCCGGATGCTCGGGCTGCCGGAGGAGCTCGTGGAACGCCACCCCTTCCCCGGACCCGGCCTGGCTGTGCGCATTCTCTGCGCCAACGAGGCCTTCGTGGAGCGTGACTTCCCCGAGACCACGAGTCTGATCAAAATGATCGCCGGCTACCAGGCCATGTCTCAAAAGGTGAGCTCTGGTGGCACCAGCGCACGCCGTTTCTGTAGCTTATGTGTAATTTACGTGTTCTGTTCCGCCTTCTACCACAGCCGCACACCCTTTTAAGCAAGATTAACGCAGCCATCAGCGCGGAGGAGCAGCAGAAGTTGAGCGAGGTGACTTCCGGCGGAACTCTTGCCGCGCATCTCCTGCCCATCCGTTCTGTCGGCGTCCAAGTAGGCCTGCTTTTTTCTTGCAACCACACTCGCAACTCCTCGCGGTAACTGGGCGCTTATTTGTACCCCTAGGGTGACTGCAGGTCATACAGCTATGTTTGCGTGGTCTCCTCGGACAACAAACCGCACTGGGATTCTCTCTTCTTCATGGCCCAAATCATCCCCCGCATCTGCCACAACATAAACAGGTGAGTACACACCTTACACCTTGGCGGCAAAAACCTGTGGTTTGGCGTGGATTGGTTACGTGTTTCGTGCAGAGAATCGATAATTTGGCGTCGTTATTTGTGGTCACAACGATCAAACCCAATTGTGATTAGACAAGGCCTCATCGCCACCGGTGCAACGACTTCTGCGCATCCTGTTTCTTTTATCGTATTCCTTGTGCGGCCTTTTTGTGCGTGATGTGATGTGTGAGTGTGTGTGTGAACGCCATCTGTACATAGGTATGTGTTGGTGGGGGCCACACGGGCATTGTGCAAATGTACGTCTTATTACAACCACATGCTCTCACAGTGTTTTTTTCCACTGAGTTAAACTGACTCTCTCTCCCTAGCCCAGAAAACTACTTCCCTATTAAGATAAGCCCGCTGCCCACGTGACCCAACTATGTTGGTCCTTTGCGCGTAATGCGTTCCTGCGCAGTGACCCCCCCTGTCCACGGAGTTACGGAAACCCGTGTGGGTCAGTCGAACCCGGTTCTCGATGGTGTCAACGCTAACCGCATCACTCGTTCACAGCCATCGCACAAACCTGTTGATTGCAGTTAAGCGGCGCTCTCACAATGCAATCAGTAGGCTGCCCAGGAGACACGCAAAGGTTGCCCAGTTACGGTTACGGTGCCTTGCGTGTGTTGCCATATTACGCGGAGTGAGTTACTAGCCTTACAAAAGAACACCAACTACGCCACTTGTGTGTGCCGTGTGCATTTACAACGTTTTGCCGTCTCCTGCTCCTTTGTGACACCCATCACTAACCGCGAATTTTGATTGGTTCCTTCTGCCGCCTTTGTTGTCTCCCGGGTTCTCTGATTGGGTGCGAGCCGCCTTTGTTTTTGGAACAGCTATACACACACTGGGTGTTTTCCTAGCCAATAGGATTCGAGTATTGCTCAGCCGTGTTTTCTGTTTTCGTTTGAGATTTTCCCACAGTCACGTGAAAGAGCGCTGCTCAATCCACCCTTATTGCCAGAACGCGAGAGCGCAAGCGACTGACCGGATATCTCTCGAAAACGTTGAATTGAATAAGTCCATTTCTGTGTGCATACAAACACCTCTGTACGTGTGTGTTTGTGTGTGGTGAGTAGAAATGAATATTTTTGCATAAAAATTAGCCTTTTCTGCCTCCGTACCTGTCAGTACTGTGAATCAGTGTCGCGTTTGCTAATGAAATGCACTCCACATTGGCGCTATAGACGTTTCAGATCAAAGTGGTGTCGCCTTGTAGAGTGGTGTACGCGTTCGGCCCGCGGATCACGAATGCGATCAACGACGTGACGGTGACGTACCTCCGCGAGCCGGTCGTGGAGACCCTGCGTGAGGTGGACGCGCGCGTCAACGCCGTGCTGTCACAGGCCAAGTGCATGCGCAGCCTCGCCCAGATGCCCGTCATCCTCATTCCCGTCCACTTTGACCGCGACCCCGCCAACATGATGGGCGCCTCGTCCATTCTGCGCTCGGTCGTCCTCAGACCCTTCGTGACCTCCGACTTCATGACTGGTCTGGCTGCCAAGCCTGGCGTTGATCTGCCTCTTGAGGTGAGTGGATGCGCCCCTCCCCCCTTTTCTGCCCACTCCTTTCACCTCTCCAATCGTTTCGACACAGCCACAGCAATCATCTCGTATTTTTTTAACTCGCTTGGCCTCGAATACCTCTATTCACTGCGATCGCGCGTTTTGATGGCATAAAAAAGCTCGTTTTGGCGTCATCGCATGCTGAGTTAAATTGCGCGGTCATTTTTGTGCGCGAATAACGCAACACGCACACACACACGCACGTACAGGGTAATCGCACTGGTTGTGCAACGCAGAGGCCAAGTTTATGCGGGAATTAATGGGTCTCTGCGGAAACCAGGTGTTCACACAGGACCCACCTCCTGCCCCTCTCTCGCATCGGTTGTTTGCGTATTTTGCTGCACATGGGGAAATCTCTTTCATCAACACAATCGCCTTCGTAGAGTGACTGACCTTTAGCCTCTTGCCCAGTTAAATTTACAACGTGCATTTGGTAGATAATTCGCCAAAATGGGACTTGTAACAATCCCTGTGTGGAATTTCGATACTGTGCAAAGGCCGTGTGCAAGTTATACAGGGACAATCCAATGAATTTTGAAGGTATTTCCTGCGGAACTAGGTGGTAGTGTCGTTGTCTGGAACATCTGGATGAAATGTTGTGCAAAGCCTGTTCCCATCTCAAGAGGTCGAACTAAAGGGGCTAAGGATTTTCAAAAATCCGCAATCCTAAGTACGATCGATTTGAGGGGGAGAGAGACGGGCCTCAAGGCCACCCGGATTGATTACTATCCCCTCTTTCTTTCACAGGTTGTGGAGAAGATGGTGGAGGCGGCCGCTGCGGTGCCAGGCATTTCGCGCGTCCTCTACGACATGACCTCAAAGCCTCCGGGTACAACTGAGTGGGAGTGAGTTCGCTCCTTCCCTCCGTCTTCCTGCCTCAATCACGAAGACCACAGGCGCCCACCCCCACCACTATCGAGAGGCGAGGGCAAGCGAGTGGCGTCGCCAACTCACTTCACCACTTTCTTGTCCAAAGCTGAATTATTGTGATGTTTTCTGTTAGCTATTTCGGTCTCAATCGCGATGTTTGGAAGTCGGGGTGGGTGGGTGAGTGCATCCAACATAAGCGCGTAATGCAGGACTCGGGGCCCCATTTGTGGCTAAATCATCTGCGTTGGCTTGTGATCGGTCATGCGATGCATCTCAACCAAACGACGATATTGTAGAGCAGGTTTGGATTTGGGATACAGACGAAAGTCGAAGTTCTGGTGGCTGTCTCCTCGTTTGCCGCAACCTACCCACAGATCCGGTGACTTTGTTCAAACTGGGTCTTTCCTGGAGAGCATCAGGATAAGCTGTCTGTTACGTTTACTCGTAACAAGAAAACGGTACCAGATCCTTTCTTGACGCTAGCACGGACCTTACCATGCTAATACAAGAACAGGACCAGAGTTCGTGTAGAGAGGTGTTAAAAGAGAAACTAATTCAAGTCAAGGTTGACCTTGACGTGATAAAAAGCATAAAAAAACACACGTTAGTGTTATAGTGTAAATAGTGCAAGAAACCAACGACGAGCAATCTTGGGGTATCGTGGATCCCCAACACCTCTCCTCCTTGAAAAGCTAGTAACGCTCCTTCTTTGGGTAGTGTTGGTTTCCGTCGTTTTCGACTACTCTGCTTTGGGGGTGGAGACTTGTCTGCCGCTAGTTGACCTCTGTTCGTTTTCACTTCCGTTGTTACCGGTGTCGGCAGCTGGAAAGTGTCGAAAAGTACATCCTGTGGGATTCTGGTCTCTCGATTTGGTGTCGCAGATCCTTTTCTCAGTCGGAGCTGGTTGCGATGCCTTGGCCACGTGTCGTTTCCCACCGTCACGTCGAACGTGACATTGTCTTGTCGGCGTGCAATCGTCCCCTCGATCCATAAGCTCGATGACTTTGTTCAGACTAGGTCCTTCCTGTAGCGCATCAGGATAAGTTGTCTGGCGTCAATCACAGTTTCGCTCTCTAGAATCCGGGTTCGCTGCTATTGATGAGTGCCTTCTCTTCCACGCACCGGGGTAGCCGTCAAACAAATTGCATCAGGCAATGGAGGAATTAAATTTTTCCTACCAATGTTCAAGACGGTGGTACTTGGTGGGTAGTTGGGGTCTCGTAGTCGAGGCATTCCGGTTGAATGTGTCGACGTCCACTTAGAGCAGCGCTCTCGAAAAAAGTGGCTTGTGAAGTCAACTAGGCCGCGTGAATCTTGTCGCTCACTTTAGTTACTAGTAAATACTTAGTCTAGCAGTTTACCCAACGCTGTCCTCAGTTGAGATCCATTATACCTTAAAGTCTGACTCGACGATTTGTGTCAAATTGCCTGTTAGCCGATGCCTGCGAATCCGAGATTGGTCGAGAATTGCTCGTGGTTAGACTCACCTTGAGAAATTTTAATTTCGGATGAGTGGACTGCATCGCTTTCATGGTAATATTCAGCGGTTGACAGCTTTTTATAGGCCAGGAGCAGTGGATGGTGATCTGCTGCATTGAGTTAAGAAATTCGGAATTGTTGGTGAGGTGAGCATTTAATCATTGTTTCTAGTAGTTACTCTGTCAACCCCATGGATCGTTAATTTTAGTCATTGCATAAGTAATCGCTAAAATGACTTAGTGGCAGCGGTATCTGTGCGAAGCTTGTGCTTACTACTAAGCGTGTTTGGCATTGAAATGCGCTTCAAAATATCGCGAGGGCAGAGCGTAAGAGTCTTGTCCAAATGACTACACTAAAGCAACTCAAGTTATCATGGGACCAATTAACTGAAGGACGTTACACTCCAGCGTTTTTGACCGCGGGTGGTTTGAAGTTGCCGGACTTAGAGGAGGCGGCTTGTGTGTGTGTCAGACGCTTTGATCTCTCGCCAGACCGCCGCCACTGCTGCTGCTGCTGCCTTGGTGGTCTACGAAGAGGCCAGGGAGACAGGTGTGGAGGGTGATTTGATAATTTCGAGACGAAAAACTTGTTTCATTCGGGTCTGCACCATCAATTTGCCACTTCATTCTCCACTCAAAAGAACGCATTCGCACATGAATCGGTTTTTGCAGTGTCCACCTGTACACGGCATTAAAAATACTTCACACTGGGTTCGGTACCTTGCCACCTTCCCAATCCAGACACCATGAAGCCGTGCCGCACGTCAAACTGATTTAAATAATCTCCTCTTGCTGTTGCAACGTAAAGATTGTTTATGGCAGTTGCCAGAGCAATTACTGTGAAAGTTAACAGTCAGACAAGCCATAAACACAGGCCTAGAGCACATTGGCGCATTGTGAATTCACAGCAAGGAAGGTTTACTTTGGAGTTAATAAACATTAACGACATCGGCATGCCTGCCTCAAAAGGTGCGCCTCTAGGCTACACGTCGGATTTGCTCTGACGTGTCAAGGATCCGTCACCTCTACAATGTTGTTAACTTTAAAACACTTCATTGTGGGCGACTAGTTTTAAAGCATAACTATTTCCTCAAATTTGTAAGAAGAGAAACAGTAATTTGAGGGTTTGCCCAATTATTTGCCTTCTAGTGTGAGTTCTCGCGAACCGATTTCTGTTAATTTGAGCCTTGTTGAACGTACCACGAAGGTGATGGCGATAACTAATGGTTCCGTAAAGTGGGATCATAATCAAATACGCGATCGAAACCCGTGAGTAGTTACCAGTGATCTTTGGTACCAAAGAATCGCCACATGTAGAAATAACGCAACATCGTGATAGGCTCAGGTGTTGTCGATCCTTCGAGTAAAGTGGAAAACGAGGCGATGAAGTCACTTTGTGTGAGTTCAGTGGATTTCTTGATATTGTGTCACGCTTAAATAGCCGAAGGTCAATTCTGGTTTGACACATGCCGGATCAGTGTCGTGTTGCTGTTTGACACTGATGCCGGTGTAAACTGACGCCGTGCCGTGTGACAAGTTTACGCGAGTTTAACTTCATTAGCTCACAAGTAGCCGTTCACACACACACACACGCACGTTTCGATTAAAATGAAAAGAGAAATTTCACACGATTTTTTCTGTTCTGCTGGGCACACATGAGTACCAGAGGCTGATTCAAATTAATCCAAAATTATTTGACAGGAAATAGTTAGATAGCCCGAAAAGTTTAAATCGAAAACCACAAATTGTCAATGATTGTCCAACGACCACTAGTTTTCCCTCATGTTTGATGGCAAATATGAACCTGTAAAACCGGGAAATGTTGATATGTTTGCTGATTACTTACCGGGAACATTTTTCATGATTTGCGAATAAGAATTGATTTTATAATGTGTACTTTTTCAGCACCGTTGGGGCAACCAGTGCAAACGGCAATTCGTGGAAAATTAAAACCAAGTGGCCCTAAATTGTTTCCACTTACTTCCGGTGTAACGGCAATCCTTGAATGCGTCCTCACCTAAATAACCTCAGCTTAAACTTGGGTTTGAAGTCCAAGAATACGTCAAAATGAGTAAGGCGGATCTATGTTTAATCTTAGCTTGTGCTGCAGCGTCCCGTTTGCTAGAAAAACTTACAGGTTCTGTTATTGTGGGGTGTAGATGTGTACATTCTCGGGACGCCTTGTTCTTCAGTGTTAACCGGTCGAGTTTCTTCCACATTCACCATGAGGTATCTGAATATTTTGCCACAATACCAAAGAGTTCGGTGGTGCAAATGTGAGTTCGAGTCCCCCAGTACAATGTATCGACACCGTTACTAAACAGATCTGACTGTCTTTTGGGTCCGGGAAAGGTCTCATGGTTCGGTATTGGTTCCAGTTTCTTCTAGCATTTGAATAGAAATTTGTTCGTGAGACGTGAAAGGTATTTTGCCAAGTAGAGGAGCACAGTCATGGTTTTCAAGCTTCGAAAAAGTAAGTTTAGCAGCACTGGTGTGCGGCGTTGTGGTGCTCTGTTTCGGACTTATTGCCCATCGCTAGAATCATCGGCTCCAAGATAATCCGTTTCACTCAACCAGTAAACTGGCTGAACAAATGACGTGGGATTGATTGATAGTTGTAAACAACCTATGCGTTCTGTGGGCAAAAACAACAAACTATAGTGTTCTACGCTAGTTGCCGAATTGCTTGCTCACTCGTTCGACCACAGGTAGGTTCACTTAACTCATTATAAACATGTTGATTGTTGGCAGAAGCATTGAAGCTGTGATGAACAGAGTTAATTCAGCCTGGCCACCACAGTTGCCTTATGCTGACCAGTTGAATTTTTTTTAGTGTATGAGCAGATCCGAACGAAAGCTGGGGTGTGAAGAACATTAATCAAAACGCAAGCTGCGCTACACACTGTGATTTTCTAGAGAAATTTTGTGTGCATTCTGGAATAGTTCGAGGTTACACAGTGCTTGATTGCCAGTCATTAAACGGGTTGTTTTAGGTACCAAATTTGAAACCAAATTTAATGATGACTGACATATGGACTAGCGTTGTTAGGTTGGAAGTTGATGCCCTTACTGTTGCAGTTCCAAAAACTCGTGTTTTTTTAACATTATACAAAACATTTCACGCATTGTACGCACATCACTTTGAATAAACCATTTTCGTGGGTCATGTCGACTCATGACGCAGTTAACTAATTTTGTAATCACCAATATGCGAACAGGAGGAGCACAGATCGAGTCCAAGGCTCATGCTTCTGCCACCTATGAACTTGGAAAATAGTATTTTTGTTGGAAGAAGGACCGAACTCCTGGAATACGGGCATTGCGATATACACCTATAAACACGTTGTCGAAATTCCGACGATGGAGGACACAGCATCTTGATGGAAGCAACTGAGGCCTCATCCAACTTCCATTGATTATTCCTGCTCCGGTCAGCACGTCTGCTGCAATGTGAACTCCATAAAGTCCTCCAATTTGTTTAAATGGATCAGAGGCGATAAG